ACCACTCCTACCCCCTGGCTAATACCACTCCATGGACCCAACCTCCATGACTTGATCTCACGTCCCTTTAAACTCTGTTCTAGTTGTAGCCTTCACAGCCTCCTGCAGCAAGGAGTTCCACAGGTTGACTCTTTGCTTTGTGAAGAGTTTCCCTGGTGTTGGCCAGAGTGGCCACCAAGGGAAGCTGGGGAGGGCTAGCCTCCCACTAGTTCGAATTTAGGGGCTACACACCCCTTAATTCAAACTAGTAAGTTCGAACTAGGCTTAGTCCTCGTAAAATGAGGTTTACCTAGTTCGAAGTAAGCGCTCCGCTAGTTCGAATTAAATTCGAACTAGCGGAGCGCTAGTGTAGTGCCTATCAAAGTTAATTCCAACTAACGTCCGTTAGTTCGAATTAACTTTGTAGTGTAGACATACCCTGAGGCAGGCAATCAAACAGGGACACCTGAGAACTGGCTTCCTGGGGGCGGGGAATGTGTCCCTTTAAACACAGGCCTCAGCCACACAAAGACACTCCTGACCTGATATCCTACCCCTGACCTGGTTCCAGCCGGCCTAAAATCCGAATCAGTGTCCACTCCATGTGGACGCGGTATTTCAAAATAGAAAAAGGCTATTTCAAACTGCATTTTGTGTGTAGATGTGCTATTTTGAAATATCTTATTTCAAATTAACTATTTTGAATTAAGATATTTCAAATTAACACTGTAGTGTAGACATACCTTATGTATGCTGCCTCTGTCCAGTACCAAAACCAAGGACATTACACTGCTTATGCACCAGAGAAATCTGGAAAAATTATTTCTCAAGGCTCAGTGTCTTCTGAAATGAATTGGAACAAGACACCACTAAACAGAAGGGCTATGTCTAGACTGGCATGATTTTCCGCAAATGCTTTTAACGGAAAAGTTTTCCGTTAAAGGCATTTGCAGAAAAGAGCATCTATATTGGCACAGATGCTTTTCCGCAAAAGCACTTTTTGCGGAAAAGCGTCTGTGCCAATCTAGAAGCGCTTTTGCGCAAAAAAGCCCCGATTGCCATTTTAGCCATCGGGGCTTTTTTGCGCAAAACAGTACTGTGCTGTCTACACTGGCCCTCTTGTACAAATGATTTGCACAAGAGGGCTTTTGCCTGAACGGGAGAAGCATAGTATTTCCGCAAGAAGCACTGATTTCTTACAGTAGGAAGTCAGTGTTCTTGCGGAAATTCAAGGGGCCAGTGTAGACAGCTGGCAAGTTTTTCCATAAAAGCAGCTGATTTTGAGGAAAAACTTGCCAGTCTAGACACAGCCAAGATGTATCAGAAAAAGACAATGGCAGAAAAGGAGCAGAAGCAGTGTTTCCTTCCCCATAATTGGCTCTCTGAAAAAGTTTAATTTAACATGTCCCTTTCCAAAAGAGTCGCTGAAGGCCAGGTGGTTGCTTCTGTCTATGGTTAGGACGCAGAGGGTACATCTACAGTGCAAACCTATTTTGGGATACCATAGTATCCCAAAATAGCTATCCTGTGTCTTAACAGCAAACCTGTTATTTTGGGCTCACTATTCCAAAGTCCCTGTAAACCTCATTCTGCAAGGAGTAAGAGACATTTTGGAATAGCGCTTTATTTCAAAATTTGGCGCTGTGTAGACTATTTCAAAATAGCATCGAAATAAGATACGCAATTTGCATAGCTCAAATTGCATATCTTATTCCAAGTTATGGTACAGTTTAGACGCACCCTGAATGATAGAATTGTATAGGTAAACTGTTACTCACAAGGGTTCAGTCATGCTGCTAACTCATTATAGTAGGACTTAATTCCAGAAATGTGATCTTAAAAAGGTGGCACTTTTGTGAATTATACTGTAAAATACATCAGATACAATTCAATCATTAAATAAAGATACTACAAGTTGTACCTCCCAAAACTGGGAGTTTCTTGTCTGGCAACATCCATGGTCTGCCAGGACCATGGGTGTTCTTGGACCAGAGAGCTACATGGGGAGAGGGACAGGGAGTGTCCAGCAGCATGGGGTTGGGAATCTCACAGGCCGGAGGCAGGAGGTGCTGGCCGGGACTAGAAGTGGAGCCAATGGTGGGCTGTGGGGCTAGTGGTAAGAGACCACCCCTGCTCCAGCAAATTCCCTCATTTGGGACCAGTCAGATCCCCAGGGTGCGTTAGCGACGGGGCTGGATGCTGCGAGCCCTTTCAATTGCTTCTATTCAAAGGGCTCACGCCTGCCTAAATTAGTAAGAAAAAGACAACTTGAACCTCGGTCCCCCAAATCCCACATGACTGAGCTAATCACAGCGCTATTGGCCATTTTGGGCTAAAAAGAAGTGCGTCTGCTTTAACATTATATTTTTTAAAGGTCTGAGTTGGTCCACATCAGAACAGAACAAAACTGATTTTTGTGAGTGAAATTTAATCAAACTTAAGGCCATTAGCTATTATTTTTGAACCACAAAACACTTAAAATATAATACCTGTTATCCATTCCAGAAATGTGACAGTTGCTTTATTCTTTGTTTAGACATTTTAAATGGTTGGGGTTACCATACCTGAACGTTCAAAAAAGAGGACACCTTTGAGAGGGAGTGTATTTGTATCAGTATCTACCAACTTACATTATTAATTATAATTATATTATATTATATTATATTATATTATATTATATTATATTATATTATATAACACATTAATACAATGTGAGTTGGTAGATACTGATACAGATACACTCCCTCTCAAAGGTGTCCTCTTTTTTGAAAGTTCAAATATGGTAGCCCTAAAATGGTGGTTAATAAAACTCAGAGATTTTAAAGGCATAATTGGGGAATCTTTTTTGGGTCGGGGGAATCCACTGACTGAGAAGGAGAAAGACACTCCTCACATTTCCCTCGTGCACCAGTTCATGGGGGGAGGAGGGCATCCTAGTAGATTTTGTGTGCTCCAGCCCTGTGGTGGAGGGCTGGAGTGCCAGCACATGCTCCCCAGTACTGGGGGTGGAGAGAACCCTGAGCGTTGGGGGCCACTTCCAGGCAAGTCGGGGGCTGCATCCTGTCCATAGACCTAAGGTCTTCCACCCCTGTTTTAAGACCAGAGGGGACCATCTAATGTAAGCACCTACAAGTTGCAGGCCACAGAACCTCACTCACCCACTACTAAGATGACCAGAAACATCCTGACTAGTGGAAAGCAAGAATTCCAGTTAAAAAAAAAATGCAATTTCATTCAACAGCAAAACAAAAAGTATAACCTTTCAAAATTTTTCATGAAAACAAGATATCAACCCATTTCAGAATAGCCTCTCACCTGGATGTTAGAAATCCAGATTCCAGTCCTTGGTCTAAATCAGTAATAGAACTTGAAGCTGGGTCTACCACAGATCAGGTCTTAACTACTTCGATATGGGCCTCTCCCTGGGTTTGACCTGAAATTCCATTCTGGAACATCAAAACAAATAGATTTCCACAAACTTTTGGTTTTGACAAGCTGGGTTATTTGGATGAAAAACATGTCAAAATATTTTGAACTGGCTCTGCTGTAATCTGTTTCTGCTTCTGTAAGCTACTCTATATTTATCTGTATCTCTCCTCTACCTGTTATTGCTTTTCAGGCATATACCATTGGTGATATTCCCTTTCAACCAGATGATTGGATACTTTTACTGAAAAGTATTGAACTACCTGAACGTGGAGTCATTGTGCTCAAAATTTGTTTGTTGTACGGTGCAATCCTGGCTCAGTAATGTCAATGGAAGAACTGCCATTAATATCAGCAGGAATAGGATTTCACCATAAGCACATTCTAAGCTTTGTTTTAATTCCCTGACTTTTAAAATAAGCTCCTTCAATGGTACCTAATTCTGCCATGTTTAAAGTGAGGATCACTGTTTGTAATTGTACCCAAGAAGCTATATACCTCCCTTTGCCCTCTTATTTTTTGCATATTTGGATTGGCTAATTTCAACACCTCTTTAGGAACACAGTAGGTCCTAACTCTTAAGTAAATATAACTGTACACTTTCAGTTTCATATGACTGCCCAGAAGTGGATTTTGATTTTTTTCTTTTTTCTTCATATATACATGGCTTCATCATCTATATGCAACAGAATTGATCGGTTTCTCTGATGCCTTTAAAAAGTTGGACGAATGTTCTATGGAAAATTTGTGTTGAAACATTATTTCAAATGTCAGTTGAAGATGAAATGTATAAACATTTTTTAAATTACCTCAATATCAGCTACCAAATTCATGAGCTCACAGCAAGGAAGCATAAAACAACCATAGAATCTTTGCTAGTAATATCCTCAGCAACCATGTTCTCTGTGAAAAACAGAAAATTGATTTAAAACATACCCTCAAATTTCTTGTATCCCATCAGGGACAAGCTGCGTTGCCCATTTTTGAGATAGTCTGTATCTTGAATCTGTTTCCAGCATTCACTTATCTGAAATGCTTCGTGGTTTGTTTAGTTTCTTTTCAAACTTTCACTCAGAATGACTAGAAACTTTCTATTAAAAAGTGCACTCTGGCCAGTTTCTTGAGTTGGTTTTTCACTTCTTCCATCTAGGGACCTAATACTATGGAAAACCCATTCATTTAGGCAGAAATATACCCTTATTCAGAGGGCTAGGACAGAAAGAACTCTTTTAAGAGTTCTGTTCCCGTCCTAAACTGAGCACAACTCTTACCCTGGACTTTGATCTTTCTTTGTGTAACCCTTCTGCTGGGTAGGCCTGGCAGTTACCAGGGCTGGGTTCAATATCTAGGGGTCCATCTCACACAGAATCGGCTCGAGCCCCCACCCAGTAATCTGGGAAATTCACACACCCTTGGGTGCCTCTGAGAGGCAATGCTTTCCCACTTGCAAGCACTGAGTCTAAGTGTAGGAAAGAAACATTTAATGAAACAGAGAGAAGTCATACGGCATTAACTTGGTGGAAACACCACAAACAGAGTTCATAACCTAAACATGAGCTAAGCCCCCCACCAGCCAAGAATCACCTGAAGTCCAAAGAGTCCCACACCCCAAAAGTCTCTATCCCTGGTCCGTGCCACCCAGAGTCCCAAAGTTCACCCGCAGGGTTTTACCTCCCAACCTGGGTAGAAATAGGGGTGGCGGAATAGATAGGGGGCACCTTACGACACTCCTCCACGCTCCACCAGTTGTCTCATCCCGCACCACCAGACGCTCCACTGGTTGCCTGCCGCTGCTCCTCGTCTGCTGTTGCCGCTCCTCGCCTGCCACCGCTCCACGCCACGCCACTGGTCGCTACTCCACACCGCTGGTCGCCGCTCCCGCCTGCTGCTGCTTCGTGCCATGTTACGCCACCAGCCAGGGATTCCCACCAGCCACTCTACTGGTCGCCACCACTTCACTGGCTGCAATGGGGCTGGCTCTCAGCCCAACCAGTGAT